GCCGCGGACACCTCAGGGGGAGCCGTGCCCGCCGCCCCTCCCCCCGCACGGCTCCGCGGGGCGGGCGCCAAGCGGGACCCTGCGCGTGGGCGGGGAGCTCGCGGAGCAGCACGAGACGCCCCTGCCCGCGGCCTAGGCCCGCTCCTACCTGCCGCCTCCTTCCGCTGCGGGACTCGCTCCGGGAGCCGGCTGCCTCCGCGCCGCGCCCGCTGATTGGAGGAGCCGCCGATCCCCCCAGCGGCCCCCGCGCCACCGCCGTCCGCTCAAAACTTTATTGAGACGCGTAGAAAGGGACACGGGCAGGGGGCGGGCCCCGGTGCCGGGCAGGAAGCGCCCCCCCCCCCGGTGCAGGGGGCCCTGGGACAGGGGCCGGGGTCTGGGGAACTAGCTGGGGTGAGCCCTGGGCTGGAGGGACCCCTGGCGAGGCCCAGTGGGGGCCTGACCCCCCGCCCAACAGGCGGATGCCTCTGGCCTAGTCCCTGCCCTAACTGCAGCCCGGGGCACCAGATCCCTGGTAGGGCTGGGCTGGGCTGGGCTGGGCAGGGCGGGGGTGGGGGGTTTCCTCAGCACCACGGTGCCAGGCGCTGTACAAACACCGAGTTGGAAGCACCTGGGCTCGCCCCCAGCAAGGACCACCCACCCGGTTGCTCCAGGTTTCTGCTGGGGAGAGGAGCAGCTTTGTTTTACAGCTAAGGAAGCTGCTCTAGCTGAAGCTACCCGGCAACAAGTACTGAATTAGTCCCCTGCCCTAGCCATGCCCACTTCCGTTGTGAGCTCCATCTTCCCCATGCCGGATTGGGCAGGGACAGCGGGTAGGAGAGGGAAAGGCAAATCCGAATGGGAAGTGCCCAAGAGGGGGCGAAATGAACTAACGGAAAACCAAAGGCAGGTTCAGACCCCGGGTCACTGTCTGGGCAAAGTCCTGACAGCCATACCCGGGCCTGCAGTCACTAGGCGGACGAGGAGCATGGTTCCCCGCCTTACAGCAGGGCGCTGCACTGACAGCAACAGAGTTACCTAATTTATGCCCATGTGAGGGCTTGGCTACAATTAACACACTATAGCTGCGCTGCTCTAGCACTTCAGTGTAGACCAGGGATCGGCAACCTTTGGCACGCAGCCTGGTTTGTTTACCTGCCGCGTCCGCAGGTTCAGCCGATCGCGGCTCGCCACTCCACGCCAATGGGGGCGGCAGGAAGCGGCGCAGGCTGAGGGATGTGTTGGCCGCCCTTCCCGCACCCCCCATTGGCCTGGAGCAGCGAACCGCGGCCAGTGGGAGCCGCGATCGGCCGAACCTGCAGACGCGGCAGGTAAACAAACCAGCGGGCCTGCCAGGGCTTCTCCGATTGGGTTGGTAAGCCACCTCCCTGAGAAATGGTAGCTAGGTTGACGGAAGAAGACAAGAGAACAACCCTGCAAACAACATCTGCTTTCTACCAGCATTAATCACCCCCAGGTTATATGGGCAGAGGCTGGACCAAGGTGCAATTTTCACTTCCCTATACTACTGGCAGAAGGATTTGGGCCCCAGTTTCTTATTCGTGTTCAGTTTGGTATGGGGGCAACGATTAACAAAAAAGGGCAATTTATACACTTTCCAGCTCTCGGGCCACATCCCTTAGGGCTGCTGCAGGGAGAGGTAAGTTATCCCAGTAGGGATTCATTCAGAGGATGGGCAGCAGTGGTGCCATCACTACCCTGTTGCTCCAGGTTTCTGCTGGGGAGAGGAGCAGCTTTGTTTTACAGCTAGGACTCTAAGGAAGCTGCTCTAGCTGAAGCTACCCGGAGACAAGTACTGAATTAGTCCCCTGCCCTAGCCATGCCCACTTCCTAGCCAGTGCTGCCCATTTTGGAGGCTGTGCAGGTCCCCTTATGTAACCCCCAAGGGTTGAAATCTGTTTCTGACCCTACAGCCTGGCCAATTTGCCATCTCAGGGAGGGGTTTTTGCCAGCATCACCCCATCCTGAATTTACTCTGTAAACATCTTCCATTTGAATACAGCTAGGAGAGTCAATATATCAGATTACTGTGTAATGGTTTTGGCACTGAAATCCACACTGAAAGGAGTAAACAAGGGTGGGGATTAAAAGCATATTACAATAAAGCCTCTAAAGATTATGGCATCCAGGCATATTAACTGTCTTAATTTAACAATGTGAGAGTTAATGATGCTCTCGTGTGCCATGTGAAATCACAAAGAACTCAAATTGCCATGCAAGAGAGTAGAAGAAAGTGATTGTTTCCCCCTTCCTCCCTCCAGATAGGCACTATACTCCTTGCTAGCACTAACAAATCCCCTAGGAGTAGATTCTCCCACTCCTGTTTTTACTGGCTTTGACTGCTGCCAGAGGGTAAAGGGGTAAAGATGCTGCCTGTTTGAAGGTTTTTAAGTGCTTTTGTTGAAAGATCAGCAACATTATTTAAAAGGCAGCCAGAGAACAGCTCTCCTTCCCTCCTGCCTAGTAGTTTCTTACCTTGCCATCTGGATTTGTTTCATGCTGTCTGCCTCGCTGGTGACATGGAGCTGCGTGATCGTCTGGTGTCTGACATTCATAATGCCAGCATCAGACACTGGCCTTCAAGGACACTGGATCCAGCATCCTAGTTCAAAATACCAGCTGTCTAGGATAGAGATAGTAAATGGAGGATTTTTTTTTCCTCACCATCTTCTTTCTTTTCTCTACAGTTCTTTAAAGATTGCACAGTGGTAATTTGCAAGATTACAGGAAACACAGGGACTATACAGAGGTAGTCTGTCCTTGAGTAGAAGATTGTTCTTCCAACCAACTTGATTCGGATGGGAGGCTGCCAGGTTGGGGTTTGGTTAGTTGATTGGTTAGTTATGTTTTGTTTTTTTAAGAGTTCCTGTTTCCTGCAAGATTCAGCCAAGACCCCAGGCCTTTAGTATGGACTAAATTGGCACAGGTTTGCAAAGTGAGGGAGAGGGTACAAAAAGTCTCCCTCCTGGCATCCCAGCATAGGGGCTAGTCAGTCATTGAGCTCCCTGGGCCTAATCCTGCAAGGTCCTGAGTGCTCTCGACTCCCATTGGAGTTGAAGGCAATTTAGTACCTTTTGCAGGTGACGCTATGTAAAGGACATTCTGCTTAAGGGCAGGGGTGTGACTGCCCCCTTCTGTGGCCGTCGGCAGAGATGACCTAATACATGGGTACTGCATGCATTCCCATAGGCACTGTGCCTTTTGGATGCAAAGTCAGTAACCAGACCTAGGGATCATCCCGTTCTTTGTAAAGTTACCTGTTTTCAAAAAACCCTCCACTATATATGATCCCACCCCACCAGCCCAGAGTTTGATTCAACCCTGCTGGTGTGTAGAGTTGCTAATTGCCCCTCTCTGAGATAGCAGGGACTGCTGCCTCCCAGGGGGAACTCACCCAGAGGGGAAAGCTGTCGGTGTTTTCATTGCTCCGCTTGTGCAGCACCTCGCATAATGGGGCCCCAATCTTGGTTACATCCACATAAAAATGGCCAGTGGTCCATCTAGCTCAGTATCCTGCCTTCTGACCGTGGCCAATGGCAGATCCGTAATGAACAGAACAGGGCAATTACTGAGTCACCCAGTCTCAGCTTCTGGCAGTCAGAGGCTTAGGGACATCCCGAGCATGGTGTTGCCACTCTGAACTTCTTGGCTAATAGCCATTGGTGGGTCTATCCTCCATGAACTTTTCTGAACCCAGTTATACTTTTGGCCTTCACCACATTCCCTGGTAAAGAGTTCCACAGGTTGACTGTACGTTGTATGAAGAAGTACTTCCTTTTTTTTGTTTTAAACCTGCTGCCTATTAATTGCATCGGGTGACCCCTGGTTCGTGTGTTATGCAAAGAGATAAATAACACTTCCTTATTCACTTTCTCCACACCAGTCATGATTGCATAGATCTCTATCATATCCCTCCCCCACCCTTAATCATCTCCTTTCCAAGCTGAACAGTCCCAGTCTTTGTAATCTTGCCTCATACAGAAGCTGTTCCATACCCCTCATCATTTTTGTTGCCCTTCTCTGTACTTTTTCCAATTATGTATCTTTTTTGAGCTGGGAAGACCAGAACTGCATGGAGCATTCAACGGATGGTCGTATCACGGATTTATATAGTGGCATTATCACCACTATATAACTATCCACAATGACTCCAAGATCTCTCTCTTGAGTGGTAACAGCTAATTTAGACCCCATCATTTCGTACGTGTAGTTGGGATGATTATGTTTTCCAACGTGCATCGCTTTGCATTTACCAACATTGAATTTCATCTTCCGTTTGATTCCCTGTTTTGTTGGTTGGTCTCTAGGAACTCCGATAATAAACATGAGGAATAATCATAATTAATATCTTCTTTGGGGGCTCCATCAGGGATGGCAGCTTTAATTTCCACAGGAGCTCCAGAGCAAAGCCAGTGGCAGAGGCAACTGGGGGATGGCTACATCAGTACAGCCAATCGCCAGCAATGCCCACTTTGGAGACTGCATCAACTGGCTACAGCTCTTCCAGTGACATGGGAATTACAGGGGCCATTTGCTGCTGCAAACTCTTCTCCAGGTGGACTTCTCTTCATTTGGGTTTCCAGTGCCTCCTTCCCTGCATCAGGGAAGCCCAAGGATTACAAATGCTAATCACTCAGGAGAACTCAAAATTCAGAGATAAGCATGTTAAATTAATGGAGATATCCTATCTCCTAGAACTGGAAGGGACCTTGAAAGGTCATTGAGTCCAGCCCCCTGCCTTCACTAGCAGGACCAAGTACTGATTTTGCCCCAGATCCCTAAGTGGCCCCCACAAGGATTGAACTCACAACCCTGGATTTAAGCAGGCCAGTGCTAAAACCATTGAGCTATCCATCTCCCTTTTGTTGCTTTACAATGAGATGTAACATCAAAAAAGAAAGGAGAGTGCACAGGCCATTAACACATCGTGCTCCTACAGGATAATGTTACACTTAGCGTAGATCTTTTCTTCGTGCAGGATAGTTGATTTATACTATCTACAGGCCCAATCCACTCCATGTATAGAACTCCCACTGTCTCCAGTGGGAGTTGTGAGCTCAGAGCCACTCCTGGGTCAAGGCCTATAGAAATCCAGTGCCACTAAATTGCTGCACTACTGGGATGAAGGTACCAGCCAGACAGGCTAATAGTTCATAGCGCACTCCATAACAAAGTGGGAAATTTTTAACAAGGATTAACCCTGATTGATGAATCACAGGATCTTATGATTTATTTATTTTTGTCATTATTGATGAGGACAAAAAGACAATCCCTCTGCAAGAATCAAGAATGGGAACAAACTCAG